CAGCTGTTCTGAAAGCTTCCCTGGTTGCTCCGCTGACTTTATGGTTGCCAAGGTGATTGCAAATTGTTTGTTTGATGACTTGTTCTAGGATCATTCCAGGTATTCATGTTAAGGCTAGACATCGACAAACCCAAAAATGAATATTAGAGACCTGCCACAATGGTAAAGGACACTCTAGACCCAAGGGAGCAAGGAATATTTAATCTCAAGAGGAGAAAGCTCAGGAGAACTCTAGGGAATTCTCCCAAAAGTTGAAGGACAGTCTTGGGGCAGAGTGGAGACTTGTTTTGAGTGGCCTCAAGGGGGCAGACTTAAGATCTGCAGGTAGATGCTCCAAGAAGACAGATTTCAGTTCAATTATCTGAATCGTTGGAGAAATACGCGCTGACAAGAGCTGCTGCAGAGCTTGCCTTCACTAGAGACGGCTGTTTAAGGGGTTGGTGGCTGCGCTGTGTCAGGGGCTCACTAGACTCTGAGCTGCTTCATTCAAAAACCACCAACATCCCACCTGGCTCCATGACTCCGTGATAATGACGACTTTCATCATCATTCTTCTAAGGAACCAAATTGTGTTCCCTTCCCATTCTTTTTCACAGCAACTCAAATTGAAAATAAATTATTCATCACCCACGTTCAAAGGGTCCTTTCACAATATGACATAAAAGACAAATACACATTCTATATACACATTTGATTCTAAAAGGAGATAATGGCAGTAATAGCTCCCTCTTTTCCAAGGCAGTATGCTCAGCGTTTGACATGCATTTTAATTTTATTTAATGTAAATTTCATGAGATGATACTGTAGAGAGATAATATTAGAGACAGACATTTAAGACGGTCATTTAGAAAGAAGCCTACAGATGTTTCTCTGCTCGGAGGATCATAAAGATGGAAGGAATCTCGTGTAAACCAAGACCAGGGTAAGATTTTCCTAAGCCGTCCAGCTATTGGTGTGAGGCCATTCCCTGGCTCCACAGAGACTTACTCCTATTCAAACATTCTTTCGGTAAATCAAAATGTTTTTTTCCCTGTTTGGCAGGCAGGAAATGATAAATCAGAGTCTTAAGGGATTGATAAAATATGTAATTAGACACTATCAATTACCATAAAAGAGCCTGCTTTTTCTCACATCAGATAAAGGTGTATTTAGTCTACTAAGAACTTTCCAGTTCAACTGTAGCATTAACTCTCTAAGGCCACAGGCCCAGTAAGCGCCAGTCCAACTCCTCTGCTGAGAAACGACAGGACAGCATTAGGCAGTCAAAGCACGTGAGGCGAGGGGCAGACCTGGACCCCTCACCTTCCCTGCCACCTTCGACTGGGCACTTCTTATTTCTGCACTTTAGTTTCCTCATTTGCAAACTGGAGTGGAGGGGATAAGCTAAATGATCTATTAAAATCCTTTCCCACTCTAACTCTCTCTAACCCTATAATTCTAGAAGGAAGTCAGGGGAAGTCTCTTGGCGTGAAGACAGAGTCTTGAAAATCCTACCAACCTGGCAATGGGGCGGGAGGAAAGATTGGTTGTCCATTAGGTAAGGCTGCTGGGCAAAGGCCTGGACCGTCCTCGTGGACATAAGCAGTCTTCCCCTCTTGATTTAGTGTTTGCAGGGTTTTTTTAAAAGGTGTTTCCCAAAATAAGTCACAAAGTTATGACTTATATTTATATTTTAAAAAACCAATTACTGCTTGTCCTAAAAGGACTTTCTTTGTTCTTCTTTTTTTGTTATGGGAGGTTAAACAGCATGCTTATTTATTCCATAGCTTCACAAACAGGAAGGAGGTTTTAAATCTCTGAGTGCCACAATGCGGGGCAGATGTGTATTTAAAGAAACGACGTTTCGTAACAGACACTGTCTCTTCCTAAAATGTGTCAGGCCAGGACCAATTTTGGAAAACACAAATATGAGGTGGGTATATTTTGAAAACTATGTGAACATAATAGGTCCTTAATTAATATTTGTGGCTTTTATGGGAACTATTTGTTTTTTAAGGCATCTATCTTGCAAAACCCATCTCTGCTCGAGAAGGAAGTTAAAGGGCGTATGTAAATTAAATTGTGTTTCTGGGCTTTGCTTCTCAAGTATTTTGTTGATCTATCAGAAAAGACTAACAACATATTCTGAACTGCTAGGTAATTTATATAAATTTTATTTATGACCCACTTAACAACCCATATTTGTGAGGCATTTATAACCCACATTTGTAAGGCATTTACATTATGTGCAAAAGCAATTTCACCTTGATTATATCGTTCGATTCTCACTCAGCTCAATGGAAGTGACTTAAGAGGAAAGTGAGCTAGAAAGTCCTAAGACAGGGGGATCTGAAAGCTGTGCATCCCAGTTCCAGTTATAGTCTTCCTTATATTCCATTCCTTTCTGCATTGAAAGGATTAAAAGACAGGTTTTAGACTCTGGCAGACCTGGGCTCAGCTCCTGCTTCTGTCCCTGCCCAGCCCTGTGCCCCTGGGCAAGCTATATTCCTCTTGGAGCCCCATTTGTGAATTAAGCTAAAAATAGTACCCGCCCACCCCACACACTCCATGGGGAGAATTAAATGGAATAATGCATGAAAAGCACATAGCAGAATGTTCCATAAATGTTAGCCATTGTTATGATATTATGTAATCGACAAAGTATGTTGGCTACACTGTGTGAAATACTTTCAGTTTTTCAAAGACGCTACTAATACATGTGAAATCAAACCCTGAAAATGAATTTCTCTTTAACAGTAAAGTCCTGTGACAGATGCAAAGGACAGTATTTCATAGGCAAAGACCCTGGTTGGAGGGCTTGGTCTGACTTTTTTCTTTCAGGAGAAATTTACCTTTTGCTTTCTGTGGCTTCAAAACATTCTTACGGCAAGCGCTTGAAATCATCTGAGCTATAGGAAATTGCCATGTTTCAAAGTCGAAAGCCACCGAATATCGGCAATTCCAAGTGGCTCCGCCCAACGGAGCAACAAACCTCCCAGGAGATCAAAGGATGTTCCTAGTTGCAATGGGATTACTGAAGAAGTTAAGGTTGAAATGGAAACTATTCTATCTTGGACGCATTTTCATACCAACAGAAAAATGAGGGAGTGATGCCACACGCCCAAGAATTAATAATTAAAGCATGCAGCTTTCTCTCTCCATCCCAAAACCCGTACACGCATATAATACACCCCAGCTCCAAACGAAAGCCAGCCGCGCCATGTGCGTCTCAGTGCCTGCCCATTTCGGAGGAGGGCACCCCGAGCGCTTGACAGCGCGCGCTGAGGAAACCAGCAGCTGCTGAAGTCACCTCCTGAGGTCCTGCCAAATGTTTGAAAGGGAATGTGCCTGGTCCCTGTGCGTGTG